ATCCATTTCTGGGTCGGGGGGGTGGCAGTCAGAGCTGCACCCAATTCACTTAGCACCAGCCCCTCACTGATCCTCTGCAGGTGGTGAGTCCACAGGAGGACGGCTGCTCTGTCAGTGACAATACAGCCTTGATTTTTCAGCGGGGGCTTCAGGCAATGCAGGGTTAAGTGTCTTGCCCAAGGACACAACAACAGCAGTCATCAGTGGGAGTCGGTGGAGAAGGTCCCGTGGTGGGCTTGAACCCTCAACCTTCAGGGTCAAAGGCCAGTGCTCTATCAACTGAGCTACTGTCGCCCCCTCTTCTTCTGGCCCAATTTCCTCTTAATATTCTCGCAGTTTCATTTCCTCTTCTCTTTCCCCCATATCGTACACAATCCATACAACAATGCTATACGTTCAGGAAGCAATATGTCGATGCTAAGTGGATTCATTGTGCCATATTTGGTCGCTAAGGCGTGTATTAGCGTCTGAGAGGCAACACAAGCGAGTTGCTACAATGACTGGTGGGATGGAGCAGGTGCACAGATTGGAAATTTTACACCTGGTTTCACCTGAATAGCACAAATGGATACCTAATTGCTCCATTTCATCACTTCCATTCGCCGGGTGACATTAAAAGCCAGCTCTTTAAAAAGGTGCCGTGGAATTGTAGGGATGAATGCTTTGGAAGGAGCAGGGGGAAGGCTCACAATCTGATCGTGCATATTTCTTCCTGTTTGTCGGCTTGATGCGAGAGAAAAAACAAAAAACAAAAAACAAATCTTCATCTTTGATTTAGACACCATTAAGGCTCCTGGGCGGATATTGGAGTCGTGTTTGCTCGCTGAAATAACTTGGAGTGCATTTAATCAACTGGATTCAGGTGCAGAGCTTTTTGTTTTGTCCCCCAAGCACGCTCGTAAACAGGGTTTCTTATAACGCGTTAGGAGAAAACCGGGGATTAAAATCTAAGACGAGAAATGTTTCAGAGTCGTGCTTCCCAGATACAAATGTTTGGCAGCGAGGATTTGACTGTGACACTTTTTTTCTCCAATGGTTATGATCCTGTGGTTTTTCTTATTTTTTTCTTTATCTTTATATCTACATCTTCCATGTGTCTCTATGTATTAGGGACATGCACAACTCACATTAGTTATTCTTCATTGAAATATAATGTCCACAGTATGTGTGTTTCAGTTCTCAAGCAGATTGTCCAATCAGAGAGCAGAATGAAGCTGTCATTTGGGTTGCTATTTTGTGAAGTGAAATTTAGCACTGTAGGGTGAGAAAATGTCGTTATCACACATAACTTAAGTTATGTACCTGATATCGGAGAATTGGATCAAAAACAACCATGTAATAAATACAATAATTGATAATAGCTTTATTTAGCGGCACCAGGGAATAACTCCCAACTGATAACGTGCATATGACGTCACAATATCAATTAATTGGCTCATTCATTGATTAAGTAATCTCATGAGTCCTTTCATTATTTAATTAGCTAATTAGTCCAATTCTCTTCAATAGAATCTGAAGATAGTGAATTCTTTTACAAATCAGTGACCCAATTTCTGGAGTTAAAAGTACAAATATCACTTTCAGACAAAGATGGTTTTGTAGATTTAATGAAGTATACACAATACAGACTAGATATGAAATATGCAAATTGTCAAGAATAACATGAAGGAAACGTTGATTTCAAGATACATTGTTAAAATGCTAGGCTAAAGTGAGCTAAGCAAGACCTTTGTCTATGAATGGATTGGTATAGGCTGAGGCCTGCATGTGTTCAGCCTTGGTAAGAGAAGTATTCTTTGAAGTATAGGTTTTAATAAAGCCAACAACTGTGTGTAGCAAGAGAGCAGATCATACAACCAGAATAGCCTTGGGTGAATAGCAGTCCTTGGTCTTGATGGCGTTGGATGGAGGCTTCTTGTCCCCAGGGCCTGGACCATGCGGCTGCATCATGCGGTCCTCCCACGATCCACAGTCTAGGTGCCAAAACTCAGCAACTTCTTCAGATTGAAACTGGAGGCTATTGGAGAGTTGTGGAAGTCCTCTCAAACGTGGAGCTGAGGTTTGAGGCCATCTAAGAGGCCCAAAGCCCCTTGGTTGCCTAAGCAGAGCCCAGGGCAGAGCCCAGGGAGGTCTGGTCACTCCGTGGTTCCAAAGCAGACTGGTTTGTCTTCCCTTGTTTTAGAGTCGTTGGGGGAAGGGTGTTGCCATGGCACTTATCTTAAGACATTCTTGCCCACAATAAAACCTGAACCACAAGGATTTACACACAGTGGAGACAGAAGTTATAATATGTCTCAATATACAACAAAATGTCTTTGATTGAGGAAAGAGGTCATTTTAATTTATCCTACAGCACGCACACACTCGCACACACTCAGGCACACACACACATTACCCACACTTATTTACAGGTAATCTAAACAAGGTACAAACAAAAGTGGTCCTAGAGTAATATACAGTTTGCTCGCTAAACCCCAGTTGGTGGTTTGCATCAGTAATTAGTACTTAGGAGCTGCATGTATCACAAACAGCAACATTCTGAAAACAAAAGTTGGATTGTGATTGTAATTGTAATGACTATTACTGCTAATTTACACAGGAGGCGTTACAGCACGTACGTGTTATACGCGCAGCGCACGTACGTGTTATACGCGCAGCAGACGAGCAAAACATTCTTCCATGTAAACCAATGATGATATTTACACTACTAGTTTTGTACACGTGTATGACGGACGTATTGACCCGAAACTGCGCCTAATTTAGGATGGATTTCTTATTTTGAGTGCGCAGCAACGCGTCTCCCAGTCAAAACACATGTGAAACATGATTTTTCTAGCGGTCCTTGGCTCTAGATCACATCCACACACACACAGCACTTGTGTCTAAACATCAGCAGGAGGAGCAGCAGGTTTTACAGCAATTCTGGACATGTTTTTCTTTTTCTTTAATAAAGTCTGGCGTCTGGTCAGACCAGCGCACAGAGACCATGAAGACAAACACATGCATGTGATTTGTGTTGCTCTACATCAGTCCTCTGGCCCGTATTGTCCTCTACACTTCTCCATAGACTACACACGGAGAGCATCAAAAGCCGCGAACATACAACCAAATAATGTTACGCACCAATAAGCACAGTCAACGCTTACCTCTGTTAACGCCAACAGTGTAAATTCCCTGTAAGACCACTATTTGTGCAAATTACACTGATAAAAGAACATTTTTGAGGTACTAAATGTAAACTATATAATTCATATATTCAGTTAATTTAAGAAACTGTGTTTACTTACTTTTGCTATTTAAAATTGTGCACCAAAACGTGATTTAATCATTTAAAAAAGGGGTATTGTATAGTAATCGTAACAGTTACTTCAATAATAGAATTAGTCCATATTCTATCAATGTGAAAAATTGGTAAAATATACTTTAAAAAAAAATCAAAGCTCCTGTTTGAATTAGCACATGCGCAGTGTGACCAAGACGAGCGCGTGGTCACACGACTGTCTCTCTCTCCCAGCTGACTAGAACGAGCACTACTAAAGAAGTATCTGAAAAGACCATGGTTTATTAATGCCTTTTGACATTTTAGGGCCATTTAATGATGACTTGACATGAAAATCATATATTTCTACTTTAATACAGTTGTAAATACAGTTAAACCTAAGAAATGTAAAATTAACTGATGCAGAATGAATGAAATGTAGTGAATGGTGAAGTGTTGTGATAGAGAACGGATGGATTTCTGTAACCAGGGACTGCAGATGGAAACTAGTTATCTTGCTTTAATCTGGAGCAGAACATATCTGTCTATGAGCTTAATGTCTCTGTTCGCTGTCCCCAAGATAACACGTTATTGATCTCACAACGGAGAAATTTCAATCAATTTACAATTCACAATCTTCAAAAAAGAACCTAGTGCTATAGTCACGATGGAGTGGCACTTTCTCGCTGCAGCTCATGACAACCAGAATCATCTATCTCAGTGTTACATAAAATGTACTCTTATATAGCCCGGAAACACAACACTAGTTGAATTCGCCAACACAGATCAGAGAATCAAACAGTTCCAACTCAAGAAAAGCAATGAATATAAGAAACACATAGAGCCATTGGTCCATAAAGGGGTAAATGACCAATGTCCATAAATGTCGTTAGATGTCGTGGTCCTAAAAAACCCAGGGGGAAGTGGTAGCTTTGTTCATGTATCATCAACAATCTGCAAAATGGTTACTGTATTTCTATCCCAGTTTTTCAAGTTTTGCCGTGTTGCTCGGCGACAGCCCCAAAACATCACTGCTCTCGAGAAGATCTGCATGGAGGAATGGGCCAAAATACCAGCTACTGTGTGTGCAAACCTGGTAAAGACCTATGTAATCGTTTGACCTCTGTTATTGCCAACAAAGGTTAAATTACAAAGGATTGAGTTGAATTTTTGTTATTCCTGGATTTTTTTTTCCACATTCTGTCCCTCACAGTTGAAGTGTGCCTATGATGAAAATTACAGAACTCTGTCATTATTTTAAGTAGGAGAACTTGCACAATCGGTGGCTGACTAAATACTTGATTGCCCCTCTGTATATGGTAGAGACATGTACAGTATTCCCTGCATGTACTGTATATTATTATGTATGTATAACTGTATTAATATCTAACTTCTTTGTTTGCTAAACTTTATATTGTATTGTGTGGTATTGTTGAGCTTGTCAGGCATCCTTATTGCAAAAGACCCCCTCGAAAAAGATACGATTCATTTCAGTGGGGCTATCCTTAAATAAATAAACATGTGATAATAATGTTTGATGTAAATTCAATTCACTTATGGCTCTGCACAAACAATTATTGAGTTCACATTCACACCCATTTTCGGACGGTCCATAATCCAAATCCATCAGCCCTGTGTGTGGAGCGTCTATTGCATGTGCATGAAGGGGGGTGGGGGGAGGGGGGGTACTCCCTTTGCGCGGGCCGGGTCATTGAAGCCTGGCATCCCAGCTCTCTCATTGTCATCTATTCTCCCCTACTTCTCCTCTTCTAGAACAAAGGTCGGTCTCGCTCCCCTCTTCAGTGCCGGACCCCAGCGAGATACTCCGTGACGTGAGGCGTGACGGGAGCCCCACATTCACGAGGCCAACGCCATCGCCTCCTCTCAGACTAGTGTGTCCATATAATCCTGCTTCACTTCCATCAGTCAGCGCCCCCCCAGCTCTGTCCGCACTTTCTGATCCCTCACACTTCGCCATCGGCAGAACCCCCTGGACCCCTCCAACCCCCTCCACTGTCTCCAGCCGTTTCCATAACAGACAGGAGCCCACCACCCGAGCCCACTGCTGTCTGGCTGTTGGTGAACTCCTGTGCTGAGGAATGTCCTTGGAAAACATGTGAAGGATGTATGGGCAATTAGTACTGGGGTAAAGAAAATCCTTTGACAAAGTGGCACAGAAAATTCAATCACGGATAAAAGGTTTAATCAAAATGTGTTAGTTAGAAATGTTTAGAATGTTTGTACTTACAGTATGTGTTTGTATGGATGGATGTGTCTCTGCTGGACAGCTGAATTTAGTAAAAGTACTCTTCAAATATATGACCGTTAAAATATCAGGTACAGTGTTGAATAAAGAGTGTTGGTGGGATTTTAACACCAGACTAGTGTTAACTATCTTACACTTTTAAAAATGTTCATTTAACACTAAAGAGTGTGAATGTGACACTTGGTAGTGTTAAAATGAACACTATGGGAGTTCATTTGCAGTGGGTGAATGAGTGAATATATATGCTTTCTTGTATGTATGATTTGAAACAGAGCAATATCAGGACAATAGTCAAAAGCTGCAGCCAAGGCAAGTTTATTTGTATAGCACAGTTCATACAGTACATGCATGTGAAAGCCAGATTATGTCAGACTTCTGAAGCTAAGCAGGATATCGCTTCTGTCAGTGTGCCCCAGGGCAGCTGAGGCTACAGTATCACCACCGTGTATGGAGTGAATGAATGTGAAGCATCTTCGAGTGTTCAGAAAAGCGCTGTAAAAAAAACCCAATGCATTATATGATTATTACAAGGCAACTCAAAGTGCTTAACAAAACTAGAAAAAATATGGGGCATTAAGAGTACAAGTAATCATGGTACATTCAAAAGTGTGATGATGAAATCCCTGAGTTGTATGTACAGCTAAACCGTGTATTGCAATGTGTTTTGTTGCATTTTTCCTACGCAGCCTAAACTTTTCTCCTCCCATGAACCTGAAGTTATAAGGAAACGTCCCAAATCGCAAAATGCCACAAATTCAAAATGTTCTTTGCAAACAGATTCTCTTCATCCAGCTTGGGGGCAGCCCTCGGGCCTCTCAGTACCCGACCTCCATGGAGCCGTCTGAGGCCACAGGAGAGCGGACCTGACCGGGCTCCAGGATGCACCACACCGGACATAGAAGGGTTTGTACGGTGCAAGACTTTTTTCTTTTATCATATTGTAAAGAGTGACGCAAAATGTGGTCCACCAAATGGTTGAGCAGAATATTTAAGCTGTAACACAGGAGAGGGCTATTGCTTTCTCTGGGACGCTGGATTATTGCCGGATTATGACAGACAGATAGATGTTATTTAAATCTTTCTAACCAAAACTTTCTTTCAATTCTAAAGCGCTGTGTGACCCTGTCTGTGAAAGAATTTGTATATACGTATTTGTGTTTTATGTTATGTATTTTGACATGGGAATACTTTAATTAACAGGAGTTTATTCTCATATTTTTTTGTGCTAAAATGACTTCAGTTGTGTTTGGATCAAAAATTGGGCCAAAAATAAAGAAGGATATTTAGACTGATGAATTATCTATATTGGTTTTTAACCGTTGCTAATTGCGTTTTGAGCTCATTGTTTACCATGAAATTCAGGGAAATTGTATTGATAATATAAACTATGAAATGAGGTATAACAGGCCAGGGGTAGCTTTCTTACCCTTAATGCATGGAATTGAGAAGTATTGGGAGGACCACTTAAAATGTTACTTGAATATTTCTTGCATATACATTTTACGTTACAATAAACTAATGACAGAAGAGAATTCACTAGTCAAAGAGGTTATGCACTTTCCCAACTTTGAACAGACTCATAACTGTTGATACGGAGTGTAGCAGGTCACAGCCGTTAGCATGAAACATGATTAATGGAAAGCATGGACTGGAGACACAGTGGACTTAATTAGTGAAGCAGACTCCAGACCAGGACTACAACTTCATTTGTGATTTATGGAGCCAGTGTGAAGCTTTCATGTGGCTCAGATCACAGCAACACACCGCAACACACAGCAACACACAGCAACACACAGCAACACACAGCAACACAAGGACCAGGTCAAAACCTTGCACAAAACTGATGACCTCCATTCATTCATGTGATTATCAATAGAAAATAAGACGCACATGTCCACACAGTTTGCTCTCTCTCTCTCTATCTCTACAGTATCTCTATCTCTATCTCTCTCTGTGACTGGCTACAACTTTGATAATATTTGTTATTCACCTGTTGCTAAGTACAAAATAACACGGTTGCCTTTTATGGAATTGTTTTTCAAGTTTTTATGCCTTAGATTGATCTCCTTCAAACCTCATTCAAAGAAAATGATTGAGGTGAAGGAAGGTAACTTTGCTGTGTGTATAAAAAATAGTTGCAAGAAAAATGAATTTACTGAAGTAATGAGATTTTTTCACTTGAATGTGTTTTAATGCACTTTACCATCATTTTACATTATAATTATACAATCAGGTGTTTCGACTTTCTGTACAAAACTGCTAAACTAATTCGCCCTGACTATTTTTTCTCTAGAATCTTATTTTATTTTTTTTTTTCTGCAAGAATTGAATCAAACTTAATCAGAATCAAAATTATTGTTATTGTTATTGCCATTGTGAGTGACATTAAGAATTTAAAAAATAGAATAAAGCATAACAATAAACAATTTCTTAAAACCGCTGTATATACAGGTGCACCGAGTACACACAATAGACTTTAGCAGTGCAGTGCAGCGAGGTCATAAGGACAGGGGACAGTGATAAGTGTTCAGCTAACACTCTGAAAAGTCTGTGTATATCAAAAAAAAAGACAGTAAATCATGTTACACTCTACAACAACTTCTGCATGAATTATATGCATCTCATATTACATAATTAATCTTGTTCCATTCGTTAATTTTACTTGCCAAGTCTAATCAAGATAATATTCTTACCTACAGCCATCTTGGTTTCCATGTTTTTGCACAATAATAGACTTTGAAAGCAGACATCAAAGGGGACCACCATCCCTCAGCCAATCAGGTCGCGTCCGTGTCAAGAAGTGACTTACAGGGCTCTTTCTTACAGATGATTTCTTCTACGATGAAAACACCATGTTTTGAGCTGAATTGTTCACAATGTATTAGTTATACAAGACTCTTTCAGTTCAGACAAACTACATTAGTAGTATTAGTAGTATTAAGGGAAAAAGTTAGGTTCCTCAGTTTTAATGTTGGCACCAAACTTCACACATTCACAATTCTCACACTTCACCACCTCAGCGCCCTTTCACTCCCACCCACATCCGACCATGGGGCGCCATGGTGTGATGTCACACAGGCCTTTATGACCTGTAAGTCATTTCCCATGGACCTTTTTGACCTTTTTGAGTCAAAGTAGATGACCTTCGTCAGCTACTTTGACTTTATTCTCTAAAAATTTCAACCCTTATGCTCTGTCGTATGTTTTTTGGGGACGAATCTTAACAACAAACGTGCCGAAATACTTACACCAATCGAAAGATGCAAAAATGAAGTTTTAATTAGTAAAAAAGTCTGATCGGGTCACAGGCGTAATACTGGTGCTGGAAGAGATGTCCCCTGGAACCTCATAAAATGGCAAAGTGTGAAAAAAGCCAATGGGCAAAAAAAACTGTTCTCTATTCAAACCAGCAGTGATGCAAATGACAGACGTTGAATTAACAAGCCAAACGAGACGACCTGATCTCCGTATGAATCGGCCCGGCAATAATGAGGCCGAGGAAACGTTACTATGTGCGTTTATGGCTTGGTTTGGAAACAATACGGTACCAAAGGGCCTGTGTGTGCTGCTGGAACGATAGCAGCGTGGAATGACAGCGAGACGGGTCGGTAATGAGAATGGTGGTTAGAAAAGGGAGCAGGCTTCCACACGGTGAGGGCCAGAAACTGTTGGGACATCGGTTATTCACCTTTATTTGGTGTTTTATGGTTCGGCGTCAGGGTTTGAAGGAACGGTACGTAGTTTTGCGTGCACTGGTTTTTGTAATGTTGCTATAAATATAATGTAAGACTTGTGTCACTTATGATATGATATTATAATGTTATGATATGCGCCATGGCTGCAGAGGTTTAGGTCGAGGGAAATTAACCTGCTGAATTTCACCGAAGAAGCTGGCAACCCAAATGTGTGACTCATGTGATGCCACTTACGCGCTCTTGGATAATCTGTCTGAGATCAACACATAATGTCCATTGTTTTTTTGAATCAATAATAAATCAGCATGAACATTGTGATCAGAAAATACTGAATGATTTGTACTTAGTGACCTGGAGTTGTGACTTTGTGATGGATTATTACTTTCTTATTTTAATATCCTCTTTTTACATTTCACATCTACATCTTTTATGTGTCCCCCAGATAACAGGTCAATACTGTTTGTACAAATCATATTTGACCTTTTCTGAAATGGATATTATTCAATCCCACCATGTTGTTAGAGCTAAGCTAAATTCCAGCAAATTTTCAGCTAAATATATAGATTTTTAACCAATTTTCAGTAGCGCATTTCACAGACCAAGGTTACTCAAAGTGCTTTACCATGTTTTGGAGTACTAATATTTTTCCATGTCCTAAAAAGTGAGACGCCAAAGACCCAGAGAAAACCTACACAGACACATGGAGAACATACAAACTCCACACAGAAAGGCCCTGTCTAGAAGTGGAATCAAACCCAGAACCTTTTTGATGTGAAGCACTAGCGCTAACCACTGCGCCACGTGCCGCCACAAATAGCACAAGATTCTGGCAACAAAATTGTGATTACAATAGGGCACTGTCCGGTTTCCGAAATGTGCTAAAAATAGCTCAGATGACTGCGCATGCGCGCATGTTTCGGACAAACATTGTGTACGACTCGTTGAGTTCTACTGTGTTCTCCTCATACGCGTGTGTATTTATTTGGGCTAAATCATTGAATCATGGTGACAACAAAACACTGCAGTTATGGTGCTTGTCGGAGCGATTTCAGATACTCTGAAAAGGACTATATGAAAGTAACATTCAACCCGTTCGTTAAACCACAACATCGGACCAGACCAGGACCAGACCAGGACCAGATCAGACCAGGTGGG